ATGAGCCTCCCCCCCCGCAGAAAACTAGGCGGTCCTCACAAACCCCCCCTTCACCCACACACTGTCTCCTTAATTACATACCCTCCCCACCATCCCCACTAACACATGCACGGCATGCACTCCCACCCATCCGTCCTCCACAACCCCCCCCCCTCCTAGACCACAACCCTCAAGACTCCACCCCCTCGTACCCAACACTCCCACCTTCCCCTCTCACAAGCACCACCACCATTCAGCACTCCCACCCACCTTCCCCCTCTCACAGACATCACCATTCAACACCCCCACTTTTTCCCCTTTAACAAGCACCACCACCATTCAGCACTCCCATCCACCTTCCCCCCCTCACAAGCACCACCACCATTCAACACTCCCATCTTTTACCCTCACAACCATTGGTGAATTTATTTATTTGAAGGGGAGCGCTAAACTCGTAGAGGTTATACAGCGCCAGACTTAAGCCAGCGGAGAGTAACAAGAGCACTTGAGTGGCGTCCAGCACCTCCACCTGCACTCTTAATCTAGTGTAACTATTTGTTAGATGTTTATCTTGTGTCTACCTGGAGGTTGTTCTGGGGTCACCTCCCCTGCAGCCTGGTCCATGACCAGGCCTCACGATGGATTAGGGCATGATCAACTAGGCTGTTACTGCTGGACATATCTTGTGTTAATTATATTGAGCCTGTGTTTCCTTTATCCTCTATTAAGTTTGCTTTCAGCAAACTTAACACAATTACAGTGGTTTTATATATATACCTAAAGCTAAAATGTTCCCCTGAACTAATCTGCTGGGACTTTCTACTCATTTCTGCAATATTGCAGTCTCATGATGTGTTGATTGCAACGCATAAGGCCTAGAGCTATCATTCAACTCTCCACATGGTTGTTTTGCATCTTCGGTCGCTTGTGTCACCTTGCCACCTAATACTGAGAAAACTTCCCTTCATTTCTTCTGTCGCTACCTACCTACCTGGAGTCTACCTTGAAATATTGCATAGCTCCTGATGATGCATAGTGACATGTGAAAGTACTTGAGCTGAAGATTTCCATCCCCTGTGGTTTGTATTGAATTAAGATCGCCTGTCTGCGACTGTATTGCACTGTTTTCTGTTCCAGCGGCTCAGTGCGGCTGTTCAAAGGGGTAATGCCTGCAGTATTTTGGGCACACGCCCCAGCTCCGAGGAGCTGGATGAGATTTTCGCCTTATAATCGGTGATACACACGTAACAACATGTACCATAATATTATAAAATATATATATATATATATATTTTATATATATATATATATATATATATATAATATATATATATATATATACCGAATAGGTATAACTAGTCAGTTAGCAAGAACTCATTTAAAATTAAGATCTTTCTAAAGTTTTCTCATGTACGTTTAAAGATATATATTTTTTCATTTATATTAATGTAAAAATTAATTTTGTACCAGAAGAACCTTAGAAAACTTATCTAACCTTATTATAACAAGCGCAATTTAATTTAGCCCAATCCAACTAAATATATTTTAGACAAGTTTGCAGCAATTTAATAATAAACAAATATATATTTTTTCGTTAGGTTCAGAATGATTTTTGCGAAATTATTGCATACACAAATTTTCGCTTGCCTTATTCGGCAAGAAGAGCGTTGCTATGTAAGCCCAAATCGCAAGTTTTACTTATTGGGCACGACATATATGTATATCGGAAGCCTAACCACCTCTCAGTGTACTGTGTAGCGCTGACTCCTGCCACCTGAAGGTCAGTTTAGTTAAGGTGGATTGTTGTACACCATTGTAAGTTGATACACTCCTTCCCCCTCTCCTTCCTTTGGCATTGATTAGGGCCACTGAAGTCTCCCAGCTCATT